TATTTGTTCTGATAATATGCCCTTTATGCCTTTTTGAGTCATATTTATGGTTCTCCTGATAATAAATCCATATTTGTTCTTATTTTTATATGACATATTACACAGTAAACTAATTAATAAACCGGTTGTGCCAGTGATTATGTTTGACAGTACCAATAGTTAATTTCAAACACGGGTTTGCCAATATTCTCATGATATTTAGAAACTTTTTACTGCTTCCGATCCTGCTTCTTGACACCTTGTTAATAAGATTGATCTGACATAACCCTATCTTCACTTAAACATCTTTGCCTGCCGGTGTAAGACAAAGCATAAGACAGTTGTATAAAACGGCTTGAATTCCGTCCGCCAAGCCTGCAGCTTATCCTCTGCCTCTTCCTCCGCCCTCCACCAGTCCTCAGACGTGCGAGTGTTGTAAGTCGGTCACAGTTAGCGCCTTTTTGTGTTTCTCCGTTCGCTGCTGAACGTTGTTGTTCCGTCTGTCCTCCACGTCCTGGATGGTCTCCGGGAGTGGCATGCTCTTGGTCTCGGGAAGGGCGGGTACCAAGAGGCCGGCCACCATCCCCGCGCAGCCGAGAGACACGTTCACCGCCCACCACGTCTGTTGCGCCTGGAGGATGTCAAAAAGAGGGTCTGTAGGTATTTGCTGCCATAGCGATGTTGTAGAGTAAGTAGACTGACATGCGTGATATCCGTTCGTTCCGTTGATTTTTACTCCTTTCCATTTTGCTTCTTTACACTACCTTTCTCTTCTTTCTTTTCTATCTTTTAATCAATCAATTTCTTTCTTTGACCCTCTCTTTCTATCTAGTTATCTATCCCTTTCCTGCCTATATCTCTATGTATCGAATCCCCCTCCCCACTATCCCTTAGTTCTCTGCCTCTACGTAGGCTTATTCTTTCCCTTTTCCTCCCTATATCTCTGTGTCCAGTTCTCCCACCTATCCCATGGTTCGGTCTCTTTTTACCTTGATAACTATCCCTTTTTCACCCTATATGTCTCTAATTCCCCCACCTATCCCTTAGTTCCCCTTTTCTATCTACGCCTATCTAGTTATCGTTTCCTTTTTCTCCTTACATCTCTGTGTCCAGTTCTCCCATCTATCCCATAGTTCTCTTCAACTATCCCTTTTCCTACCTACATCTTTCTAATCCCCCACCTATCCCATGGTTCTCTGTCTCTCTTTTTATCTATATATCTATCCCTTTTCCTACCTATATCTCCATTTCCGCCACCCGTACCATAGTTCTGTCTCTCTTTATCTATACATCTATCCCTTTTCCTGCCTATATGTCTCCAATGCCCCCACCTATCCCTTGACACACCACAGCGCTTCTCCCTCACCAGCAGGTCAGTCACAATGGGTGCCACACACTGTCCGAGACTTCCTGCCAGCGTGACCATAGCGAACCCCTTCGTCCTCACCATCGTAGGGAACAGTTCAGGGACATACATGAACACCACCTGCGGAAAAAAGGTTGTCATTATATAGAGAAAAGGGGATTCGAAGGGGAAACTATGCAGAACTGATACGTATTGTTGGTATGCGGGGAAAAAATGAAGAAACTGGATATAATTTATGTGCACTTTTGGTAAGCGGAAGAAACTTTATAGAACTAACGTGTACATTTGGTAAATGGGGAAATAACTGAAGAAACTATACAGGACTAATGTGTACTTTTGCTAAGCGGGAAATAACAGAAAGAAACTATACAAAACGACCTTATGTTTTTTGGTAAGCAAGAACAAAAAATATATAATAAAGTAACGTGTATTTGAGCGTTTTTTTTTTTTTTTTTTTTTTTATCAAGATGAACATTAGATTTTGGAAAGCCCCTTAGCATCCTGCAGTAAGAAGGGTTGGGTGAGGCTTATCTGCGAAAGAAAAGCACTGACCTGATACCCTCCGCCTGCCAGGAAGAAGGAGATCATAACTAAAGCCCATTTGACATACCAGATTTCTGGAAAAAGAAATACATTAAAAAGCTCTATCTCCGTGTCTGCCTTTGTCTTTCTGTTACTCTGCCTCTCTGTCTCTCTCGCTCTCTCTATCTATCTATCTCTCCATCTCTCACTCTCTCCTTCTCCCTCGCTCTCCTTCTCCCTCGCTCTCCTTCTCTCTCTCTTTCCTTCTCTCTCTCCTCTCTTCTCTCTCTCTCTCTCTCTCTCTTCTCTCTCTCTCTCTCTCTCTCTCTCTCTCTCTCTCTTCTCTTCTCTCTCTCTCTCTCTCTCTCTCTCTCTCTCTCTCTCTCTCTCTCTCTCTCTCTCTGTCTCTCTCTCTCTCTCTCTCTCTCCTCTCTCTCTCTCTCTCTCTTCTTCTCTCTCTCTCTCTCTCTCTCCTGTCTATCTATCCATCTGTCTCAATCTTTTCTTTCTCAGTCTCTCACAATCTCACAATTTTTCTCTCTCAATCTCTTTCTCTCTCAATTTTTTCTCTCTGCTCTGTCTACCCCCCCCCCCCTCCCTTTTCTCTCTGTTTCTCTCTGTCTCTGTCTTTCTCGCTATCTCTAGCTCTCTCATTGTCTCTCTCTGTATCTCTCTCTCTCTCTGTGTGTGTGTGTGTGTGTGTGTGTGTGTGTGTGTGTGTGTGTGTTGTCATCTCGCTCTCTCTCTCTCTTCTCTCTCTCTCTCTCTCTCTCTCTCTCTCTCTCTCTCTCTTCTCTCTCTCTCTCTCTCTCTCTCTCTCTCATGTATATATGTATGCGTGTGTGTGTGTGTATGTATATACATACATACATACATACATACACACACACACACACACACACACACACACACACACACACACATATATATATATGTGTGTGTGTGTGTGTGTGTGTGTGTGTGTGTGTGTGTGTGTGTGTCTGTGTGTGTGTGTACATACACACAATTTTGTGTTTTATCTATCAATTTATCTCTCTTTCCATCGTCTTCTCACGCCAACCGGACTTTCTCGATCCAAGTCATCCCCTGCGCAGGAAGCCCTTCTCCCGCCCGCCCACGCACCTTCGGGGAACGGCGAGGAAGAGCGCCCCGGCGAGGAGCAGCGTCGACCCGATCACGTGGCGGCGGCCGACCAGCTGGTTCACGGGCGTGGCCAGCAGCACCGACACGATCTCAAACACGCTTAACATGGCTATGTACTGGAAGGGATTCGTGCTAGAAGAAAAGGAATAAGAAAAGGTTGAAGAAAGTGAGTAATTGTACAAATAGGAGACATTTGTCTTTACTTCGACTATATTTTTAAAATGTTCGCTGTAGCGTATACGGAAATATCCATTGTAGATGTCCATAACAGGATGCGGCGATTCGTTAGATATTTACCCAGAACAAAATGTGGTGGACCTAGAGGGACGTGAGGTGAGTGAGTTATTCGACCGGCTATCCGAATGCTACTAAACTACTACTGCAAGGTTTAATGTAACAGACACCTGCACTGGATGAGGACCGATGTGGAATCTGTAAAGTTTTAACCATATGTTTTAAAGATTTTTTAGAGTAGTCTGATGGCGGTGGCCCAAGCTGGAACCCTAGAAATCGCAAATGAAAAAAAAAAATGTGTGATCAGATCTTCAAATGTTGTCTTTCCCGACTTTGCATATCTGTGAAGGAAAATATATATATATTGTATTTATAAAATAAACTTAACAAAATAGCCTATACCTCGTAAAATTGTTAACGTTGAGGATGATTCCATAGTAGAGGAGACACATAAGGAAATACATCAGAGGTGTAATGAAAATGATGATCAGCATAGCAGGTGAGCGCAGGTTCGCCATAGCTGCTGAAGGACGCGGCGAAGAGCTGCTTCAGCGCTACCTTTTCTTTCTTGCCGCCGGATAACCCGCAGGTATCCTACGAAACGAGATACAAGAGGAATGTTAAGATGTTTAGATATTATATCTCCAAGTTTTCAAGCAAGTTATTCGAACGAGTTATTTCTGATACTCTTCCTAAAGACTTCATAGGCCGACCTCCTTCATCTTCTCTAGGTAAGACGCGAGGCGGGAGGGGAGCTCGACGCGGTTCTTCCTGGCAGCCTCCGCCAGCTCTGCCGCCGCCCCTGCCGCTCCCGCTCTGCACGAGCCAACGGGGCGACTCCTTCACGAACCTGCCGGAGGTCACTTTTCTTGGATTTGCAGAACAAAAACCCTCGGGATCGGTCTTGAAACATTTTCACGTGAATGAAAAATATACCTACCATGCATTTATACATATATATAGGCAGACAGGTAGATAGATGTGTACATACATAATACACATGTACATGTACTTATGTATGTATGCATGAATATGTATGTGTATGTATGTATGTATGTATGTATATATGTATTATGTGTATGTGTATATATGTGTGTTTGTGTGTGTGTTTACATATATATATATATATATATATATATATATATATATATATATATATATATATATAGTGTGTGTGTGTGTGTGTGAAACAAATATACATGTATATAGACAGATAGATTAATATATAGTTATAGATAAAGATATACAAATACATATATGCTGTCCAGTTATGCTATTTGAGAACCCACAGAGTGATGGGCGTCATGACCAGGTAGGGCAGGGTCCAGATCAGCTGCAGGTACCGCCAGTGGCTGACGAAGTAGCCGACCAGCGCGAACAGGATGACGCAGGCGGAGTAGGGGAGTCCCATGAACATCCCGAGGACTGTGCGGTGCCGTGGCGGGCAGGTTTCCATGGCTACAGGGGGGGGGGAGGGGGCAAAAAGGCGTTTACAGAAATTGCTGTTATTGATGTGGCGTTAGGTTTTGGTGCATGTTATTCAGTCTGATGTGGAATTCATGAGGAACAGATTCCAACAGGAACAACGAAGGGAAGGACATATTCGTGTGTTTTCAACGATTAAGTTATTTTGTGGCGATTAAACGGATAAATAGAGTTATTAACTTCGTCTTCTTGCCCCTTGGAAGGTAATGATGACTGATGAACTGGTGATTAACGAACGAACGGGAAAATAACACCATTACTGAATTAGTAAACAAAAGATCAGGCAGTTTATCTACAAAGTTTAAGTCACAACCCAATTCCTTTTTATCCGCACTCTACGAGAAAAAAATAATAATGTAAGTTAAGTATGCTAATGAAAATTTGATTAATATGAAGTACCTTGACAAAATAATTTTTACTATTTATTGTGGAACAAAAACATAATGCTTGGGAAAGTGTTCAGTATAAAGACATTTATAAAATAAAACATCGCATTTAGCCTACTTTTGTTATCAAAGAAAAAAACTAGAGCAGGAAAGTTCCGTAGTTCTGAACAACGCTCTTTAACATTTTTCTTAGAGACAGGAAAAGCAACAGTATTCAGGATGATGATGAAGATAGCAATAATAATAACAACAATAATAATTATTATAATAATAATTACAAAAATAATAGTAATAATAATAACAACAATCATAATAATCATATTAACAATAATAATAATCATCATAATCATAAAAATTACAATGATAATAATAATTATAATGATAATTGCCATAGCAATAATAATAACCATAATAATAACAACAGAACCCGAGAACGAAACCGAAAGCCGAAAGCCTGGCCTCTCCTTACCGAGGTTGATGGTGGACAGCATGACCATCCTCACCGAGATCCCCATGGCGAACCTCAGCGCCAGCACGACGGGGAACCACGGGACAAACGCCACGGCCAGGCACGAAGGCAGACCCAGCAGACACCCGATCTGCATGGCCTTCTTGCGACCCATGCTGGAGGGGGAGAACGAGGCAGGTTGAGGTAGCGTTGTCATCACCACGGCGGTAATGAGAACACGGACAGTAGGATACATGCACATGCAAACGCACAAGAAACAATAGAAACACATGCACAAGTACATGCACGTAAATACGTGTGAAATTCATGTTGAACAGATTGCAATAGGAACAACGAAGGGAAGGGCAAGAAAACACACGAATATGCCGAAGGCCTTTTCACTATTGCTTCGTCAGGGCATATGACGAAGCAATAGTGAAAAGGCCTTCGGCATATTCGTGTGTTTTCTTGCCCTTCCCTTCGTTGTTCCTATTACGTAAATACAAGCACACACACATACAAGCACACACACACACTAGCACACACACACACTCGCCTGTCGCCAATGGATCCCCCGACGAAGCACCCCGCTATGGCGCCGATCGTTATGACCATCTGGAAGAACGGCCGCAACCGCTCCCTGTCACACACCAAGTCAAACTGGAAGATCAAGCCATCGTTTTTGCCACTCCATTAAGCCAATAATTTTCTCAACCTTTCCTTTACGATTGACCCCTCGGCTGGATATTTCATTATCTCAATATATATATATATATATATATATATATATATATATATATATATATATATATATATATATATATATATATATATATATCAGCATTCTCTATTAGTTATATTTCCACTATAAAGCAATTGTTATAGAAATAAATACCGAAATGCAGAAACAAAATGTATTTGTTAAATGGCGCCAAAACACCGTTATGTGTTATTGTCGTACGATTTGTTAAATCACGTTAATAAAAAAAAAATGGCATGGTCCAGAGGAGAATGTGTTTGGCATGCAATACACATCTATATGTTAATATCACTTTGGTGTGAGATGAAGTGCCAAGGCCGGTTGGCTAGTTATCTTATGATTATTATTCAATATTAGAGTGTGCACTTCACATTTTGCTGACATGTTGCTGACAGAACTATGTGTTGCAACCCAGTAATTTTATATTTGAAGACTGCCAATTTAATGTAGACTGTCTTAGTAAAACTGCAAAGCGAAGCATCTTGGCCAAAACGTCGGTCATGACAAATATTGAAAGAATTAACAATACGTAAAGTATAATGCAAGTAAAACATATTTTAGTATTATGCTGTGATATTGTAGGTCGACTCTTTCGACATGTAGAAAATTTTGATAAGGAGCAAAAATCATATTATGAAATATTAATAAACAATGTATTTCCTAAATAATCCTTTCTAGAGCAAACTGTAAT